GATCACTAAGAACTAAAAGTCTAAATCTGAAATTGTTAAAGGAGACTAAAAATACATATTTTTAGTCCCTCAACTTCTAATATATACAGATTTTTTGTATCTCCACTTTAAGTTAAGAGACTAAAAATGTGCATATTTAGACAAACTTAATGAACTAACTGATAGAAGAACTAAAAAAATGCATTTTTCATAGTTGATGGACTAAAAAAGTGCGTAAAAAACTTAAAAGATGAAAATTATGCAAAACATTAAAGTTAAGGACCAAAAATGGAATTTACACTTTTTAAATTTGAATTGATTTGTACCGGCCAATTTTCAGTGCATCGGCTGATATGCCAAAATATCGGCTGGTACACCAAAACTTGATCAAAATGGGTGAAATTTGACCGAAACGGAATTGAACCTTGTACCGTTTTGGATTGATGAAAAAATTGGTACGTTTTTGGCATAAAACGGAATCAACAACACTGGTTTTAATTGAACCTTAGCTTCCCTTGTTTGTTCTTGCCGCACCTCCTCTCTCAAATTTAGTTTGGTTGAATCATGACGCTAGGGGAGATTTCTTCGAAGATAAGCTTGGCAAATTGAAGGCTTTGGATAAGATCTACAAACTGTAAGTCATCAACTACAAAGAGTTCAAAACTGATTCAAGGTGGGAGTCCTAATGCATAAAAGTTATGAATCTAGACTTGAAAAGGGGTAGATGTGAGAAGAACTAAGAAATCCCATTCCAAATAGGATTGGGTTGTTATCTTAGGGATTTGGATTGGATAGTAGAAGCACATTAGGATTGGTGTTTTCCCTTTTGTCTATAAAAAGGAGGCCTTTGGCTTTAGAGAGAGCATTCAAAAAAATTGAGGGAGAGGGGAAGACATCTGAGAGCCGAGAGAGGGGAAAAGGAGAAACGCTAAAAAAAAGGAGAGAGGAAACCGAGAGAAAAAGAAACATAGGTGAAATAACAGAGAGGAAGATAGAGGGAGGCATGGAATAAAGAGGAGAGCAAGAAAATCTTGTATTCTTGAAGTTTTTCCTGCAAATAAATAAGATTAAATTACTCTATTGTAGGTGTTTTTTTTTTTTTTTTTTAAATGGAAGAATTTGGAGTTAAAATCTCAATTGTGTAGATGTTTTTCTTTTTCTTCATTTCTTTGTTACCTGGTTGCTATATTAATCTGTTTCTTTACATGGTTGGCCACAAATAATCTTGAGAAAATTTTTATTGGGTGTATTCTTGTTGCATACATATTTTCTTTCTTCATTTGTTTTTTTCCTGTTTTTGTTCGTCCCCTGGTTTCAAGGCTTTTTGATTTATTTATTTATTTAATCAAAGTAATTTAACAAAACTGATTACCATCATGTTAAGTTTAGTCATTGTTTTTGTTCCCCTGAACTTGGGTATCATTTAGAAGTTCCTGCTTGGGTGATGATATGGGTACCAAGGAAATAGTTTTGTACTCTGGTAATCTAAAATAATGAACGAACATTTTTTTTTATTTTTGCAAAAAGTTAATTTCGATTTTCCTATCATAAGGTTTTTTTTTTTTTTT